CGCATAAACAAGGTCTAACTGTAAAAGACTGTTCAATGTTTGTTAACAATCTGTTATCAACACAGGCGACAGATATGATCGCAGATAATCGCCATTTTGTTGTCTAGATGTCAAACAGACAGTTTAGTAGTCTTGCGTACAAACAGTCCGCACGTATGCACGAACAGATCTGCTTGGCGTTTGGTGGCAATCTGTCGTCAATGTGTTCAACAGATCGACCCGACTGCAGTCAACGTTTTGTCATAAACAGATGCTCATACGGTTTTGCGGACTGTTTGGTCACAATATTACTAAAGCAGATCTGCTTGCTATCGACTATCTATTTGTTATCAATTTCACTAACATATATGGAATCATTTTGGCCGCAATAATCTCATGTATGTGCCAACAGAGTTGTTGCGTTTTTTGTCTTTATGTGCTAACAATTTTGGCAGCACCAAAGCATGTTTCCGTACTGTAGCGTTTCTGCACACAGTTTCTGTTGCCAAAGTCTGCGCAGTCAGAAATTGTTTGCTGGGTAAAGTTATATCTTTGCCAAGGCACGGCTGGCTAAGACAATCTATAGATACAACTCAAAGACTCATACTCATAAATCCTTACAGAACTATTTTTATGCCGATTAACGAACTAATGCAGAATTAATGCAAGCAAAAAATTTAGGCGAGTACAAATTATTGAAAAGAACGTATCCAGATTATAAGACCGGAAAAGATAATTGCTTGAGCGAAATACTAACTAAACATGAGTCAGAAAAATGTACAATAAAGTAATGCAAATACAGAACACGTTGTGGATCCAGCTCCACACAAACTAAAATTGGATTGGAATTGCACCCAAAAAAGAGAATTTGCATGTTCTTTGTTCAGACAAAAAGCCACGCAGCATGCAAGTTTATCAAAACTTTATACTTCATCTAGAGCCTGATTGTACAGTAATTTCCGATACCGCGACCTTAAAGCCCGAAAATCCAATTAAGCAAACCATTAAAATTCATCAGACCATTCGAGTAGCATCGCACGAATTACTTGACAATATCTTCGCGAATAATAACCTAACAAACATACCCATGGATATAATAAAAGAAACGCATATAGATCCAGAAAAGTTACAAACTCTCGGCAAAACACTAGGTGAATTAAATAACATCGCAGACTAAATATTAGACAATCACAGAACGATCACCTGGAAAGAAAGATTCATGTACTACCTTCATTTAACAGGATATATAGCCCTCGGCTCTATCCTTTTTGTTTTCCTTTATAAAATAGAGCTCTTTTCAAGTGTTATCAATCTTAGTAAACAATTGCTCGGAAATTGTTACAACCACTGCAGTTTTGGAAATCAAGCACATGTAAGTTACACCGGAGGTCGAGAAGTTTTACTAGAGTAGTTTTACCTCTAAGTCACCAAGTGGAACCCGACACATTCCGTAGACTCCTAGATAAAATTTGATTACACATCAAATTTTTCTATAAGGAGGGAGATGTGATCATCATCTAGCTTATATAATCTAGTTTCTACGTGTAGTTTCTGGAACTTTCCGTGTTTATCTTAAGCCGACGGTTAGCGATAGGACCATGACGCACCGTCAGCCCTTCAACATACTTTATCATATAAGGTAATCTCTCACGCTTGTTCTAACACGTAAACAAATCTAGAACATTCCAGATTATTCTCTACCATTCGAAAATGCTTATTACCAAATAAGGAAAACTCCAGAACCTTTGATGGCCAACTTCAGGCCTTATAAAACGCGCCCTCGAACCTAGGCGTAGTCAGTCTGTTACATCACATCGCGCGAGCCAGTTACCATGGCCGAACGACAGTTAATCTCGGTCGTGCCGTTTGCTTACCTATAAGTGATACTTTGTGAGTTATAAGTTTAAGTAAAACATTTGTAAGAAAAGATATTGTAACTGTGAAAGTGAATAAAATTGTTTTTATTTTTAACTAACTGAAATCGCAAATCTTACACTAGAATGTTGGCTTGTGATTATAGTTAGTTATTTGCTTACGACCTTACGATTACGACTAACTTTTGTCACGTGCAATATGGTCTTTATATATATAAAAACATGCAAAAATAATAATAAGATTAATAAAATTTTTAAATAAAAAGAATTAAGGAAATGGCAATACCAAGCTAACCAGATGTTCGGATATAATTCTTTTATAATTCTAAGATTTTAAAAAAGTTTTGACAAACGTTTCGATCCACTATGGGATCTTCTTCAGTGTTTTAATAAAAACTTACAAAAATAATGATCTATTTAAGATCATGAAGATTATGGATAAGAAAAGATACGTTATGAATATGGATATTCGGTATGAAAAAGAAAGGCGGAAATGGCAGTCACGTAGTTATCAGTATTACGCAACAGGACGCAAACCGTTCTCCCGCTTCGAATGTAACTGACAGACTGCTAGACTCCAGTCTGTCAGTTAAATATTCAACAAGCTGAAAACATAATTTAATAAAATTTTTATACTTACTTTTTTTAATACATCATACACGCACATTTTTTAATTTCTCAATCTTCTCAAAAACGCAAATATATATGTTGTTATTAACAACGACAATGTAGTAATTTCCTAACAGTTATATAGAATTTTATAAAAGTTATGTAACTGTTTCATCGCTGTTATATTGCAATAATTATATATTGATAAATAATGTTAAATAGCAAACAATGTTGAGTTCAGATAACATTTGTTATGTAACATATTCCATATCAATTTTATTGCTGTTATAATGTCATTGCCAGGTAATAACAAAGCAATATAATAAATATGTAACACAATTATATGACAATTATAAAAAGAAGTTATATAAGACTGATGTTAATAGAGTATAACAGCCGTTATATTACGTGTTATTTCTATGTTATATAGCTGATATATTCTGTTTGCTGGGTTCTTTCTTATAGGAAGTTTTTAGCAACAGAACTATCGTCAGATTCTTAACATATCGCTTAATAGTATGCTTAGGGACATTGAATTGTTTAGATGCTTTTGAATATTTCATTTTTTTGCTTCTTACTGCCGTAACAGCCTTTAAGTGACTGTGAGACTACGATTGCCTCTTCTTTGCCTCCATCTAAAAATATGATTACTAAAAACTTCCTAATACATCAAATAAAGAACTTGACAGTTCCTAATATAAAGTACCTCATATTAAGAGCGGGTTAGTGTCTCATATTAAGGCATATAAAATTGTAGAAAGTTTAAGTTTTATACCGATAAAATATGCAATAAATTGACAAAACTACGTGATAAATATCTTATATATAGTGCATGTGTACATTTGAGTGAATTGAAATGACAGTAAATCCTATGACATAAAAGTGTTAAATACATATCTTAAAGTTATAATGATTATTTTTCTTCTGTGCGCGTAAGCGTCACCTAACCACGTCACCTTCGGCAGTGACACTAACAAAAAATTTGATGTTTTTGTGCAAGTAATGTGTTAAAAATATATAGTTATGAATTTGTAGCCGTTTACATGAAATAGTTCGCTATCTCGTATTAGGTGACTATCTCATAATAGGCATCTTTACCCTATAATACACTTTACTCTCTCTCTCTCTCTCTCTGTGTGTGTGTGTGTGTGTGTGTGTGCGTGTGTGTGTAATACACACATCAAACAACTGTAACAGTTGCGTTCTGCCATTCATTGCTACATTAATAGTTCACGTCAAGGATGTACTATAAATTTACAATGCACTGACAATAAATATTAAAACGCAGCCTAAAATATTGAAAATATTGAACATTGATATTTGTTATTTCGTATTTATCACTGATATTTTAACAGGTTATTATTCAATTTTTACTCCAGTGGTACCTAATTTGGTTCTTGTAACATTAAAACCTTCTGCAATTAATTGTTCTGTTACACTTGCGACGACTTCTTCTAAAATGTTTGGTGGCAATAAAATAAATGCATATCCACCTCCACCAGCACCTGTGAGTTTTCCATATAATGAATGATATTGCGCGATTGAGCAAATAATATCTAGCTTTGGATGCGATACTCCTAGTGCACTCAGCAATCCTTGATTCATGTGTATGAGAGTCTGCAAAGCATACGTAAAAAATGATTATAACTAATAATCATATAGGATAGAAACAAGTAATACAGGAAAAACATGTAATTAAAATAAAATTTAAGTTCACAATAAATGAGACTTACTCCTAATTTGTTATGTTCTACCAACAGAGGTTCAGGATGATCCAGATTTATGTTGCAAATTACGTTAATTTCTTCAAGAACCGCTTTTGATACATCATCGATACCGTTCAAAATAGACTTAACAATCTCGGGAAACGACTGTTTCAGCTCCATTACTCGCGTTATCTGATCTCTTGTATTCCGCATAATTTTTGAGTCAACTAAAAGAATCTCCATACTTGGGATTTCTGATAATACATTTACTGGCTCATCTCGTCGAAACTCTATTATTGATCCATATGTGCACACGCTATTATCGATCCCAGAAGGCTCACCGTGCATGATTTTCTCACAACTCAAAGCATACTTTGAGATATTTTCGAGATCATTTTTTTCAAAACCAATAATGATGTTTTTCTGCAAACGCGACCATCGCAAAAAGCATGCCGCGAGACATACTGCGAATGAAGCTGAACTTCCCAAGCCCGAGTTAATCGTTAATTGTGTAAACAAATGAAGGCGAAAAGGTTTAACATTTATTCGTTCTTCGTGAGCTATATATACCAGCAAATAAAACAATGCTTGTAAGCTTAACTTTTGCTGTGGCGTTACGAGTACACCGCTTAAAGGAAGAAACTCTTCTACTTGTCTGTGCAATCGATCACTATTTGTGCTAAAGTCAAAATTAAAATTATTGCTACTAAAGTAGCTCTTGTATATCTGAAACGGTATGTTTACAAACAGATTTATATTAGGAAATTCTATTTTGATATTTGTTGAATTTGAAAAGTCGGGTAACTCGGTTAGTTCAGCGGTCGTACGCAAGTCTAAGCTAGCCGCCAACGCAGTTTTTCCATATACCACTGCGTGTTCTCCAGTTAAAATCACTTTGCCTGGAGCAGATACCGCCAAATGAATCATGTTTTGTTTTATTTCACTAATACAAATCTTTCTAATTTCAAATTTATGTGACAAGACACTGAATAGAGACCTTAGACTGTAAAAAGTCAAAGATTAGGTATACCTTTAAATCACAAAAGATATATTTATCTGAGATCAAAAATCCAAAATGATATTTATCTCCTTGGATATTAATATAAATTATAGATATGAATTATAAGGCAAATTTTGTCACTTTGTTAGCGGTATTTTCAATTATAGAAAAAAATTTAATAACAATTAAGTTCTTGTTTTTTCCATTGTTCTGGTGTTAACGTTGTTAGCGAAATAGCATGAATTGTCTTCAGTTCTTCTTCAAAAATTCCATATACAAGCCTGTATTATATATTTTAAGTTATTAAAATTTAATACACAAATCTAAAGAAACAAAATATATATTTGAATACATATTATGGCTGTTTTAAAATTTACTTGCAATATATTATAATTCTATAATATATCATATTATAGATTGTCAATACTAACCCAGATAGCCAAATATGAAAACTCAATATAAAGTAAATCATTGTATAGATTAAGTTGCTTGCCAATTGCTGTTGTGTTGTTTTTATTTAATGCAACGAAAATGTTTTTGTCAATTCAGTATCAATATACTGAGTTTTATTTATCAATCAATTGTTGTAGTCAATGTTTATGATAAGTGAATCAGCAATATGTGAGCAATATATGAGCAATGATTTTTATTCATAAGTTGAGAAAAATAATATAAGTTTATTGCCGATGAGTTGTTGGGAACTTGCTGTTATTATATTTTGAAAACTGTTGCTGGCAAGAACATACTGAAAACAGGATACACCCTTTTGTTACATTGAAAACATATAAGTAATATTTGTGGCAAGTTGCCAACAACTTGCACTCAGTTGGCTATCTGGGAAGTAAACTTTGAAACAGCCTATACATACCTGTGACGTTGTAGTAAGGGTTTTCCTTCAAATAAATTAGACACAATAACTACTGAAAACTTAGAACCACAACCATCAGATTGATCTATTACTTCCTGTAACACACAATATTTTTACATTTAATATTTTTCCAAAGTTGAATAAAGATGATTAAAGAACATAAATTATTAAAATACACACATACATTTTTCTATTGGTATTGACTTTACAATAAAAGAAGAAATATTTTTTTTCTAAAGCTACTAAGTTATATAACATATGTATTTTTTTATACACACAATGATAATACAATATTTATAGATAAATTTAAAACTTGCTCTTGAATTACTTCTTTTTTATAACATTTTATAAAAATTGGAAAACTAGTCTATGTACCCCAATAGGCACATTTATGAAAATATTGCACAAAAATGGCATCATGAATGGCGACGATTTTGCAATGATTGCACTAAGATGATTCGCCATAAGATGATTTCGCAACAGTTTTGTCGAAATAAAATTTTGTAAATAATATTTGTCAAGAATTGCGAAAAAGTCGTTATGTATTTTCACAGTATATACCTCCAATAGGCAAATTGTGAAAATATTGCACAAATATGACATCATGAGTGACGACGATTTCTTGCATTTCTTCATTTGCAATCATATTTCTACATATTTTAAACATCACAGAGCTGAATTTATTTTCTCAATTATTGGACAATTTCTTTGTGAAATTAATTTTGCAAATATACTGCTAAGATGATTCGCCATATCGTTATTCTTTTGCCGAAATAGTATTTGGAAAGTAATTTTGCAAACAACTACAAATATTTCAGAAAAGATCAATGTTTTTGCATCTATTTCCTAAAATATGTCTGTATAATTGCAAATTACAATTTTAGTGCAAGATTTCGTCACATAATTTTGTAAATGGTTTCCTATCAGGGTAGAGTTATTACTAAAAAGTTGTGTATAGAAATAGATTGTTATTGACTTTAATGTAAATTGAATAAAGATCAAGTTTCTAGAGTAAAAACTATGAGATCGCCATTCATGATGCCATTTTTGTGCAATATTTTCACAAATGTGTCTATTGGGGTACATAGACTAGTTTTATACATCTTAAGATGCGGTCAAAGCCTTACTGCAAACGTTTCGAAGCATCATTTTATCTTTATTTCTTGTTAATGTAGAATAAAGATAGCATGATGCTTTGAAACATTTGCAGTAATACTTCGACCGCACCTTTAGTTTGAATTGCAAGATATGCATGTGGAAAGCAGAAAATATGTACATATTCTAAAAAATGTATACATTCTAAAAAATATCAATTGCGATAAAATTTTATTTATATTATTATAATTGATAAATTAGAGATTATAAAAAGTAATAAATATCAATGTTACATATACATGTATGTTTTATTATCTATAATTGTTATACATGTTATTTGTTGTTATACATTGTATATTTTTTATATTTTTAACTATACTATACTTTTTCATACTATATTATTCAATACAATTTTACTTTACTCAAAAGAAATGTCCTTTTTTAAAGTAAATTGAATATAATTAAAATACGCAAAAAAAAAAAGAAAATGCCCGCATGAATAAATAGATACTAGAACTGGAAATAAATCGGGATATTTCTCAGGTGGTTTGACACATTTGATCATAACAGAGAAAAATAATATACCTAACAGAGATCCATAGAATGCAATAATAAGCCAAGGTTTTTTATTATATTTTGAAAAGCATAAAAAAAACTGGTTTTTATTGAATTGTTGATTTTTTGATTTTGATTTTGTAACTTTATTTGATAAACTATTTGCGTATGTTGAATTGTAAAGTATATCAGACCACATCCAAGAAACAGAACAAAAGTAAAATAATATTGTGCCAAGATAAGCAAAGTATAGATCATCTTTTATAAATAAAGGTAACATACTAAAATGCGAGATAATCAATAGCCAAAAACAAGGAAGGGGATCATTATGAAAATACATTAACACTGGTATTGCAATCAAAAGAATAGATTTTTCATGAACTTGAAATGAGAATAGAAAGAATGCTAAGGCAGAATTTATTAGAGAAATTATAAATGCCTCTTTTATAGGTGACAAAACTAAATTAATACAAGTCGGTAAAATTGCACATGTTGTTAGTACTAAACAAGTTTTAGCTAATTGAGTATTCGTAAAATGTTGCTGTAATTTACAGATTATATTGATAGTACACCAAACATTAGCTACTTTGTCTTCAAATATACCTCTGTCAAGTGGAAATAATCTAACCATTGTACTGAAAAATAATTCTCTATTTTTCAAAAATGGTATCCATATAACAAAAAATGTTAATAATACAGTAATAGAGATGCATATCAACATACAAATACAAGAAATCCAAGATTTTGTCTTACAAGGCATATGATTTCCAAGTATGTATAAGAAGAATGGCAAAGCATGATACAATTCCATTTGCTTGTAGTTCAACGCTAAGACAAATAAAATTGAACTAAGAATAAATGAATTTTGGATTATAGCAACTACAGCAATAATGAAAAAACCCAAAGATATACAATTGTATTGAAAATGTCCATGATCTATTAATATCAATCCAGGATAAATCAGTGCTGTCAAAAGAACAGCATCACTCTTTCGAAACTTGAATATATTGGACTGATTAAATGGATAATTATTGTATATATGTAAATTTATAAAAAAATATGCAATTGCTGGTATATAAATAATAATATCTGCACTTAGGACAGTCAGCCTCATAAAGTATTTATGCTCAATGGTTTCAAGTCCTTTAGATTCTTTTAATTTTACAAAGGAAGGGTTTATTTTATTGGCAATATAACCTAACAAAAAGCTGTGATATGCTGTTAAAGGTGGATAATCTAATCCCCAATATTGTAGATTATTTTCTGTGGTATTAATATACCACTGGTCAGAGGGCAGGTTCAAGGTTATTTCTTGCCAATGTCGTTGTGCTTCATAATCTCCATACATAGGAGGTTTACCCTCTCCACTATAGCCATGATACATAATGCAGCATCTCAAAAAAACAGCAAATGAGAAGATTAAGGCAAGTTGCAGTTTGCCCTGCATTCTTCCTTATTAGAATGTTCCAACTGTGTCAGACTCCAAAGACTACTTTTAGATCAAAATTAATCGGCAAGAATTTCGACTTAGGTTAGGTTCCTAGTAAAATGGTATTTTATTATGCCATACTTAACAAAAAAAAAAAAAGTAGTAAAAAGATCGATTTACGTACTACATGTGAAGCTTTTAATCCCTCGGTTATTTTGTTTTTAATGTATTCTTCATTATATGGCATATTCTCAGTTCCTTCTTAGTTGCTTAATCCTGTGTGTAACAACTTTATAAGGTCGCAAGACAAAAGGAGTCTATGAATGTCAAATATGTTCCAACATTTACTAGCACTACTGGAATTTTATAGCTGGAGCATAAACGTATAATATATAGACTGCGCGTTTGGCTGAAAAGATGTCTTCAACGTTGAGAGAGACAACATACTTTGAATAGTAACTCTTTCTCTATCTATCATTTTCTCCACTACTTCGCTAGACAAAGATGAGGCTACTATTCAATACCAGCTGTCTCTCTCTCCACGTTGAAGACATTTTCTTAACATGGCAAAGATAGGGAACGCGCAGTCTGTATATTATACGTCTATGAGCTGGAGTAGAGACAAGACTGAGGCCCGAATTCATAGTCGCTTCTCAAATCTTAGATCTCGTCTCCAATCTCAAATTTCAGCTCTCAAGTCTCGAATCTCCAACCTTAAATTTGAATGTTAATAGTTTATCTTGTAATTTGGTAGTTTGTGGTCATAAAGTGTACTATAACAAGTGTGGCGTATGGACTAACTTAAATCGGTCCATATATGCACCTTACTAGGCGATTTTTGGCGATCGTATGGTACATATACCAAAGTGTACCAAACTATAGTTCGAGTGACTTCAAATTATAGTTTGGTACACTTTGGTACATGTACCATACGATCGCCAAAAATCGCCTACTATAACAAGTGTACTATAACAAGGGAGAAAGACATGACATAATTGACAATAATAATATTTTTTCAATCTCCGAAAATTTTGGTGTAGAATTCTTCTTCGCTAATTTGACAACCTAAACCATTAATTTTATTAAGTATTATGCCACATAAACTTAAAATAGAAGTAAAGAATATACAAATATATATTCTTTAATTGAAGGTTATAGCCTCTCATTGAAGATCATTATTTATATCTTATTATAAAGCTCCATTATTAATTAGGAAAATCTATAATCTCTGGTTTGGTTTGGTGTAAAAATGGTTCAGTGGACCGAAAGTCTATAATTCTTCTTCTTCTTTGCACTTATGGCTCCGTGCCCCTTTAACTGTTTAGGCACCGGCCAGTCTTTGCAAGAAAGTCTATAATCCCTACTTAGTCATGAAACACCGAATTTCATGATTGGCCACTGCATTGAAATTTGAGGTTGGAGATCCGAGACCTAAGAGCTGAAATTTGAAATTGGAAACGAGATCTAAGATTTGAGAAGCGACTATGAATTCGGGCCTGAGAGTAGTCAGACCCATAAGAAATTGTGTAATCGTTTTGCTGCCTTGTAAGTCAGCGCAATGTCCACGAGTGGTGCACATTGGCACTACGCAGCCATGTCCACGAGCGACTTGTCGGTATAGAGGAGTGCACCATATCGTTCCGCTCCAGGGGAAGTATTTCTCGGAAATTTCTCCTCCGGCTGTCCCTACTATTGCGCGCTGTTTTCCTTCAATCTCGGGCCGCTGGCGGAGATCGGAAGAGTACGCGCGGTAGTAGAAGCAGCCAGAAGAGAAATTTCAGAGAAAAACTTCCTTTAGAGTGGAACAATACGGCAGAGTTACAAGATCGAGCCACGGTATATACAGTAGCGCAACTCCATGTCGGCACCATAAAGTAAGAGTAAGGTCTGTTCTACAATACAGTCGTAAGCCGTAAGTCGTAAAAAATTGACCAATCACAATCGATTATTCTTCTGTGATTGGTCAATTTCTTACGACTTACAGCTTACGACTGTATTGTAGAACAGGCCTAAGGAGATCGAACTTCATAGCGCGTCAATGGTCTAGTTTCCACCGAAACCCTCAATTTGGTTCCACTCCGGTACAGATCAAATTTAGTGTTCCGTTTCTATTGGAAGTAGAATAGAAGTAAGAAAAATTAATATTTCAGTAGAGCTAACTTAAAACTCGTTTGTGTAAATATAAACAGACATAACCTGAAAAGAATATAATCCGAGAAACTTCTAATTGACTCCGCGGAAATGATTAAATCATATATTTTATCTTTTTATTTTCAACTTGCATCGACTTCTTAACAAGACCCGACATAATGCAGACATAATGAAAAATAGANGTTGGCATTATTTAGTTTCAAACCAGAGAGAAACCTGAGAGCGGCCATCCTATTGTAATTTTTTACGACGGTTTCAGCCGCTGGTTTTAGCCGTATTTNCACAAAAGTGGAACTCAAAGGCCGTTCTACATTAAACGCAAGTCGCAGATCTCGTGGAACTGATCAATCACGTTGGTCGATTGGCTGATTTGACTCTGCAATTGGTCAATTCCACGAGATCTGCGACTTGCGTTTAATGTAGAACGGCCTTTGAGTTCCACTTTTGTGGAAATACGGCTAAAACCAGCGGCTGAAACCGTCATAAAAAATTACATTTGGATGGCCGCTCTCAGGTTTCTCTCTGTTCAAACGTTTCCACCGATTAAAATTGTATGTCAATTTGCTGCCACTCCGGTAAAACTTATAGATCAAAGCAAAAGTGAATTGAGTGCAATTCGACGTGTTTCCATCGACTTAAATTTGATTCTACGTCGCAGTAGGTGTGAATTAATGTTTCGGTGGAAACTAGATCAATGAAAAAAGTGGTCCCGATTTTGACGCCTAATTGAGAGGGAATCCGCTCAAAGGAATAGTTTCTTACGGTTGGACGCCATTTGCAAAACCACCACATGTACACATTTAGTATATGTAACTATATTTATGCTCCGAATCGTGAGATTTCTTTTAATGTATAAATTTCTCAGCAATACAACAAAATAAAGTGATAAAAGACTTAGAAGTTTTCTGTTTTACGTGCATCGTGTTATAACGCTTTGGGTAATTGAAAATAAAATTATAGATACGCAAAATATTGGACAAACAAAAAGGTTAATAATGGAAAAAAGTAACATTGAGGAATTAATAGTAAGAAAGACTATCATTTTCAGCTCACAAATATAATGAAAAGAAATTCAATGGAAATGGAACAAGCAGCAGATAAATTCAAGTATTTGCAAAAAAATTTGCATTTAGTTGAGCTGCCCTCTCCAAATTGGGGATTTACAACAGGAAGCGACACATTTTTTAATTTTGTGAAAGCAGAAAGTGATTTTAGTGTCAGAAAAAGAATTGCTGCGTAATACTAACTGACAGAGCTGCGTTCCGTTTCACGCATATGCGCGCATTTATCTATACCAGAGAGAAATCTGAGAGTGGCCATCCTATTGTAATTTTTTACGACGGTTTCAGCCGCTGGTTTTAGCCGTATTTCCACAAAAGTGGAACTCAAAGGCCGTTCTACATTAAACGCAAGTCGCAGATCTCGTGGAATTGACCAATTGCAGAGTCAAATCAGCCAATCGACCAACGTGATTGATCAGTTCCACGAGACCTGCGACTTGAGTTTCATGGAGAACGGCCTTTGAGTTCCACTTTTGTGGAAATACGGCTAAAATCAGCGATTGAAACCGTCGTAAAAAACTACAATGGCATGGCTGCTCTCAGGCTTCTCTCTGTCTATACTATATGTAACCCCAGACGGCACATAATATCATTTGATTGTAGAATGATATCGTTTCTACGTCATTTTCGTGATATCATGTGATATCACATCCCTGAAATGTCACACAGATATTCTTCTAAGAATATTAGTACTGTTTTCCTTTAAGTATATCTCAAAGACATCGCTTAATGTATAGGAAATTTGAACGCAGTGTATTACACTCCCGTGATATTCTTATGATATTTTTGAAATATTTATTAATGATATCACAAATCTTTGCACAATATATTTTGCGCGAGATATGAAAATCAATTCTCAGACGGCACAATGATATATTTAAGATGTCTTGAAGATATCTCACAGACTTTGAATGTGCAAAAGATATCTTATTGAGACATTTTCAAACGTGTAATGAATGATGTTCAAATAATATCTTAGAGATATGCCTGAGACTGCTAGTGTCCACATTAAAAACATGCAAAAGATATCTCTCTTGCAAAAGCTTATTATAATAAACGTCTCATAGAAAAGACATTCAAAGTAATGCAAAAAGACATACTCGGGAACTCCACACAATATCACAGTTCCACATCACCCAAAATATCATTTTTAGTTTTTGCACATTCAAAGTCTTTGTGAGATATTTTCAACACATCTTAAATATATCATTGTGCCGTCTGGGTACATTGCACTGCAATATTTTTATTAAATAATAATTAAAATAAATAATAAAAATATGTACAATAGTTTAAGAATAAGTAGATAAAAACAATTCTAGTTTAGTAAGAAGCAAGTAGTCCCGCGGACTGGGTGCAGGGGCTGCGGATATGGGCTTGCGGAGGTCTCGAGTTCAAATCTCACTAATTACCTTAGGATTTTTCAGGTCCGGCCCCTTTCAATGGAGTTCATCAGTTGATCGGCGAGCTGTATCAGGTCTTCAAAGACTAATTCGAGTGAAATCTCGAAATAATTCTCCTCACACAAGGCAATGTGTCATTTTTTTTTAAATAAGGAAAACCTATTTAGATTCTAGATAGAAGATTCTAGATCCTTTTTTGAATTTTCAAATTGCAAGCGTTACACTTCTAGTTTGAATCAATATGGAATTTCTACAGAGAATCTAAGATATATCTAGAATAAATGTCTATGCGGAGACATCCTCGGGACCTCTACACAATATCACAGTTACACATCAACCAGATATCATTTGTAAAACTTTTGCAAGAGATATCATTTGCATGTTTTTGATGTGGACATTAGCAGTCTCAGGCATATCCCTGAGATATTATTTGAACATCATTACTCGTTCGAAAATGTCTCAACGAGATATCTTTTGCACATTTAAAGTCTCTGTGAGATATCTTCAAGACATCTTAACTACATCATTGTGCCGTCTGGGAATTAGTCTATATATCTTAAATTCTATATTAGTCTATATTAGTCTATATTAGTTCTATATTAGTCTATATATTTAAATTCTATATTAACTAATATTGAAGTGACCTAATTGAAATTCAAAATTGAAATAAATCTAAAGCTACATCACAGTTGTTCATGTGTTAATATCAAAGCAATATAAAACAACTTTATAATGGTTGGAACATTTCTATCGTATATATTTTGTGATCATTATTAGCCAAGTTGAAACAATACATACTGTTTGTGTTTTAATCGCTATAATCTTACAATTGTTATATTGTTAA